GTGCTGTGGCATTACAGCTCACAGCAACCTCTAGCTCTTGGGCTTAGGTGATTCTCTTGCCTCAGCCTCCCAAGTAGCTGGTACTACAGGTACCTGCCACAATGCCCAGCTATTTTTTTTGTTGCAGTTTGGCTGGGGCCAGGTTTGAACCCACCACCCTTGGTATATTGGGCTGGCGCCCTACTTACTGAGCCACAGGCACCACCCCTGCCTCAGTTTTTCTATTTTTAGTAGAGACGGGATCTTGATTTTGCTCAGGTTAGTCTTGAACTCCACATTCTTAACTTTTATGATCAGCAACCTAGTTGGGTGTGGTGCCTCCTATCATAATCCCAGCTACTTGGGAAGCTGAGACAGGAGGACTGCTTGAGTCCAGGAGTTTGAGACCAACCTGAACAACATAGCCAAGACTCTATGTCTACAAAAGAATAAAAAAATTAATGAGGCCAGGTATGTGGCTCATGCCTGTAATCCTAGAACTCTGGGAGGCTGAGGTGGGTGGACTGCTAGAGTTCAGTAGTTTCAAAACAGCCTAAGCAAAAGCAAGACCCTGTCTCTAAAAATAGCCAGGTGTTGTAATAGGCGCCTGTAGTCCCAGCTACTGGGAAGGCTGAAGCAAGAAAAACACTTTAGCCCAAGAGTTTGATGTTGCTGTAAGCTATGATGCCTTGGTATGGTACTAAAGGTGATAAAGTAAGGTATATTCTCAATAAATAAACAAGTAAACAAATAAATAAATAAAAGAAAAATTAACTGGGTATGGTGGTAGCCCTATAGTCCCAGTTAGCAGGTTGAGGCAGGACTGCTAAGAGTTTGAAGTTGCTGTAAGGTATGACAATACTACTGTATTCCAGCCTTTTTTTGGGTTCTATTATTAAAAATAGATATATAAGGCTGGCTGCTATATCCCAGTGGTTAGTGCACTGCCACCTCACACACTGGGACAGTGAGTTTGAGCCTTGTCTGGGCCTGACAAACAAATAAAAAAATAAGCTGAGTGTGGTGGCTCAGGCTTGTAATCTTAACACTCTGGGAGGCTGAGGTGGGTAGATTGCCTGAGCTCAGGAATTCTAGAACAGCCTGAGCAAGAATAAGACCTCATCTCTACTAAAAATAGAAAAACTAGCCAGGCATATGGTGGGTGCTTGTAGAATACCACCTACTTGGAAGACTGAGGCAAGAGGATTGCTTGATCCCAAGAGTTGAGGTTTCTGTGAGCTATGACAATGCTATAACATTCTACCCAGGGTGATAGAGTCAGAGTCTTCCTCAACACCTCCCCCTCGAACAAAAAACAAAAACAAAACTAACGGCATCCCCCAAAGAAAAAGCAGTTCCAAGACAACTTGATCTTTCAGTTGTATCAAGGTGGTTGGTTAGCAGTACCCTACCTGAAACCACTGATATATTATAGTTTCACAGACATCAACATATACCTGATCATGAGAAATCAAGTTTGCTTTCCTAACATTTTTAAACTATCTTTTTGGAGGCATCTCAGGAGCCACCCTGGAGAAAGAGAAAGGCTGAGTGGGGTTCCAGGTACTCCTTGCCCCCAGTCATGCTTTGCTTCCATTTGCTGTAATTACCTTGGAGAAGTCTCCTATAAGGTCCCTTGGGTCATTATCCAAAATGTTCTCAATGGTTCCTTTTGGGGAAGATACCAGGGATAAAGACTGATGTGGAATCTGTAACAAACCAAAGGTGTGGAATGAGGCCAGGGTTCTTAAAAGGACTTTAGAAAACGTTCACTTGGAGCATGTCACAAGGAGGAGTCTGAAAAGTTAATGTCTATATTAAGCAAATAAGAAATTTTCCTGGCAGTGCCTGTGGCTCAGTGAGTAGGGCACTGGCCCCAATATACCGAGGGTGGCAGGTTTGAACCTGGTACTGGCCAAACTGCAACAAAAATTAGCTGGGCATTGTGGAGGGCACCTATAGTCCCAGCTACGTGGGAGGCTGAAGCAAGAGAACTGCCTAAGCCCAGGAGTTGGAGGTTGCTGTGAGCTGTAATGTCACAGCACTCTAGTGAGGG